TGTGTCTTTGCACTGATTTAGTGTGTTTTTGCACACATGTAGTGTGTGTGTTCCCCAGATTGGGCTTTTTGTTTTTTCCAGACCCAAATTAAGCTTGTTGGCCTTATCCAGATTCCTTCCAAGCCACCAAATAAGGCTTCTTGGTCTTTTCCAAACCCCCTCCAAGCCCCTAAAATGGGCTTTTTTGGCTTTTTCCAGACGCCTTCCAAGCTCCCATTTAATTCTTTCAAATCACTTCCAAAACCACCAATTTGGCGTTTCCCCGACCCCCTCCAAGCCCCCAAGTTGGGTGTTTTGGCCTTCTCCAGACCGCCTCCAAGCCCACAAATTGTTTTTTTTTGCCTTTTCCAAGCCCCTTCCATGCCCCCAAATTGGGCTTTTTTGCCTTTTCCAAACCTCCTCCAAGCCCTAAAGTGGGTTTTTTGCCTTTTCCAGACCCCTCCAAGCCACCAAATTGAGTTTTTTCAGACCCCCTCCAAGCTGCCTTTTCCAGACCCCTTCCAAGCCCCCAACTCGGTTTTTTTGCCTTTTTCCAGACCCCCTCCAGGCTCTTTTGGCCTCTTCCAGACCCCTTCCAAGCCCCCAAATTGGTTTTTTTTGGTTTTTTCCAAACCCCCTTCGAGCCCCCAAATCTGGTTTTTTGGTCTTTCTCCGGACCCCCTCCAAAACGTTCTGCTTTTTGGCCCTTTTCCAGACCCCCCCAAGCCACCAGATTGGGTTTTTTGCCTTTTCCAGACCCCCTCCAAGCCCCCAAATCGTGTTTTTTGGCCTTTCTCCAGACCCCCACCAAAACCCAAAATTGTGCTTTTTGGCCTTTTCCAAACCCCCTCCAAGCCGCCAAATTGAGTTTTGTGTGTTTTCAAACCGCCTCCAAGCCCCCTAATTGGGCTTTTTGGCCTTTTCCAGCCCAAATTCGGCTTTCCAGACCCCCTCCAAGCCCCCAAATTGGGTTTTTTGGCCTTTTCCAGACCCCCTCCAAGCCCCCAAATTTGTTTTTTTTTTGCCTTTTCCAAACCTCTCCCAAGCCTCCAAATCGGGTTTTTGGCCTTTCTCCAGACCCTTTCAAAGCTCCAAATTGGCTTTTTTGGCCTCTTCCAGACCCCTTCCAAGCCCCCAAATTGGGTTTTTTGGCCTTTTCCAGACCCCCTCCAAGCCCCCCAAATCGGGTTTTTTTGCCTTTCTCCAGACCCTGTCCAAAACCCGCATTGGACCAAATTGGGTTTTTTTGCCTTTCGAGACCCTGTCCAAAACCCCGCATTGAGCGTTTTGGCCTTTCTCCAGATCCCCTCTAAAGCCACAAATTGCGCCGTTTGGCCTTTTCCAGACCCCCTCCAAGCCCCCAAAATTGCTTTTGGGCCTTTTCCAGACCGCCTCCAAGCCCCCAAATTGGGCTTTTTGGCCTTTTCCAGACCCCCTCCACCCCCAAAATTGTTTTTTTTGGCCTTTTCCAGACCTTCTCCAAGCCCCCAAATTGGGTTTTTGTCACCCCAGCTCTCCAAGCCCCCAAATTGGGCGTTTTAGCTCCGCAACCCTGCCTTGCTCTGCTCTGCTCCCTTTTGCTTTGCTTCGGTGCTTTCAATTTACTTAAACCTTCGTTCGGGCTCTTGTTTCAAATTGCCTAAACTGCTTTTTGAAAAACTTACCAATTTACTTAAACTGAATCGTGGTTGTCGGTTGCTTTCCCTCAAACCTGCTTTGCTTCTGCTCTTCAAACCACAACCTGCGCTGGCGCACTTTGGCGTAAGCCTCTAAAATTTAGGGTTTAGGGTTTACGGTTTAGGGTTTAGGGTTTAGGGTTTACCTGGCCTTCTCCGCATACCCAAAAAATTAGCCAAGGCTGTGTAGGCCTCCGAATCACTGAAGGAATAGCCCTTGCTTTAAAAACAGCCCGAGATACCTATTCATCCATTGCGAGGGCTATTTGTGGGTTTGATTCCGGGAACGAGATTGATTAGACGAGTCGAGGGCTATTCGTTGATTTCATAGATGTATGTGCCAGGTTGCCGGCATGACCACTCCATCTGCCAGGTTGCTGGCTCCGAGATGCTGCAACATGACAGAAGAAGTGGTAGACCGCTCAGCTTCGGTATTTACATAGGGGCCCAGGGTTTTTACAGGGGGGTTTTGGGTGTAAAGGATTCTTGTGAGCTCCATAGATGAAGAAAACTTCGTTTCTTCTCTTTATGCAAACCCTTACTTACTCCAAGTATCACAAGCCTTTAATTGTTATAGAGCCGATGTACCAACATCAGATATCCCCAACCCTAAAGCCCTTATAAAGCTTCACTTAAGCTCTGTCGAACCCCAAGCCGGGGAAGAAACAGCTTCGGCGCATGGCCTTTCTCTCTGTGCGCCAACTGGTGACTGTTGTGGACTAGTGCCCCATTGCTTTTGCAGGGTGGCATTGTGACAGAACAGATCTGCAGACCATGTCGCTTGCTGCATGTGCATACATTGCATAGACGTGAAATACACTGTTGATCTCCATATCAGTGCTCAAAGCTTTCATGCCACGGGGATGGCAAACATGGAGCTGGGGTCGCTTTTGGAAGCTGAACCACGGCTTGAAGATACAGTGCGAGAGCTAGGCCCATGCCCCAGCCCATGATACTTGTGAGCTACTCTGTAGAGAAATATACAACTCATACCACCTCGATAAACTATTTTCTTGATCCCAGGTCTTTGGACTATGCCGGCTTCCTTTTGGAGCGACTGCATGCGAGTTATGTATCCCGATGCAAAGGCCGGACAGGGAGCAGTTAAAGCAAGGGGTTGTGATAGACCATGGGACCTTATTCATTCTTGCAGGACATGGAGATTACAGTAAGCACAGTGGAGGACATTGTGCAAAACTACCGAATCTTGGATTATATAAGGGGTCCTGCTATTGTCCTACAAGACCTATCTCTAAGGCACTATGGGAGTTACTCGCCACTTGGCCCGCCAAATTCGTAGAAAGTGCTGCTTGGCTTGAAGTGGTCAGTGGTGATGGCATATGAAACCATACGTGCACACTCCATGGTATGGACTGCTTCGATCTGTTGCCTAGGCCAGGAGCCCGAGTCTTGCTTGCAAATCTTTGAGTGCGAGTGTGCTAGCATGCCGGTGCTCGGGTATAAAGATTGGCCTACTTAAAACCTATCCCGTATCTGAGGTTACATCGTCATCTGGGGAAGGTGAATTTGGCAGCTCAGGAAGCTCCGAGCCATGAAGAGGGTCGCCTCGCAAGTGCCATGTAGACTGCAGTTGTGCTGTGTTGTACATACAGGATCCTGCAGGATTCACTTTGCTAGATTTCCCCTGGGGGCTTCCGCTTCAAAAGACCTGTGCAAATGGGTGTTGAATGCAGTGCATACAGTGTGCATGCGACGACAGCACATAGTGTACAACATGCAGGTACCTATGATGCCACTCCGGATGGTTTCGTCGATGCCCTCTTCACAACTTAAAGCCCTGGCCTTATCCTTATCGGAGTCCCCAGCGCGCTGCTGAGTGTCCTGCCACAGACTGATCGTTGCTTGCATGCAGGCTGCTTGCATGGGGGTTTGAACATGTGCACATGCATCTACCGATACCGCTTGGGGGCTCAATATGGCTAGCAGGGCAGTGTGAATCGGATAGTCGAGGGCCGTTGAACCATGGCTGGGAAGCTTGACTTAAGTGGGGTCGCTACCAAGTGGGAGGGAGATGAAACACTACGACGACGTGTGCTGGAGCACCACTGCCTTTTGCAGTGGAAGGACCCCAAGAGCACAGGAGTTGCCAGCATGAAGCATGCCAAGATGAACTTCTTGGTATTGAAACCCTTGTTCGAAACTTGGGCCTCGACTTCACCTACACCGAGAACACCGGGACTCCCAGAAATCAGGAAGCAGGCCCTGCACATGTGGCATGCACATGTGTGAGAGAGAGAGAGAGAGTTTTCGCATGGGTGTCATGAGTGCATAACACATGTTTCTTATCATCTTTTATGTGTACACGCCCAATATTGGTGTTGTGGCCTGGAGGTGCTCAAGCTACGACACCTTCTTCATGTTCCAGACCCCAAAGGACCAGCTCTGGTTTGTGATTCTTGGGGCTTGAGGAAGCATTGCTCCCTTTTCATTCGAAGACTTGGTTCTACTTCCCGGAGCGGGGAGCCTTGCCAGGATGTGTATGTTTAGTGCTCGATCCTCCTGTTCAGTAAGGGTTATGAGCAGTAGTGGCGGTTGCCAAGGATCCAGACCTCCGTTCGCTGAAGCGAATCCTTCTGGCAGCCTGGTTCCCCGAGAGGCTTCATGAGCTTGATATGCCAGTGGCTGTAGTGTCTTGGATGTTTGCTGGGTTGTGTTTGTTTTTGTTTCCGGAGGGCTGCTAAGGGTTCATGGTTCATTCTGTTGAGATGAGGTTCCTGCTGAACCTCACGATGAAGAGGATTATGAAATGGAGGAGGAGGAAGAGGAGGAAGAGGAAGCTTCAGCACCAGTTGCTGAAGTTTCTGATGAAGCGGAGGGTGCAGATCAGGAAGAGGAAGCTTCAGCACCAGTTGCTGACACTTCTGATGAAGTGGTGGGTGCAGATCAGGGAGAGGAAGCTGCAGCACCTGTTGCAGTTGACAGGGAGGATGAGGTGATGGTGCTTTCAGACACTGAGGCTCCACATACTCCTGTGCACAAGCCCCTGCGATTGCCTTCACGCTCGGGTGAAAAGCTTGAGTTCCATGTGCCTGAGCGACTTCGCACCCTGAAGATGCAGTTGGAAGCCCTGAAGTGTTCTGGCTGCAGTTGTTTGTTTGATATTGCATTCTGTTCTGCAAACCCATGTCCCAACGAGTGCATGGTGTGCAAACCCTGTGATCCAAGGATGGCTCGTGCTGGCCGTCTGGAGGCCAAGAACAAGGCAGCATCCTTTGGTTCGGTGGGCTCCTTTGCAGCATTCGGTGTGAAAGTCGAGGAATGTGGATCATGATAGTTTTGCCATGGTGCGATGTGGTGTAATATTGTTTGGTGCTACATGATAAGGACCGGACAACCAAGACACCCTGCCCTACGATGGTGATGCAGTGGCTGGTATGGTGATCAAGCCGCCTGAGGTGGTTGACCTGAGTGATGATGAGCCGGTTTCCAAGGACCCGTCTGGTGACTTGCCGGATGGTCGGGTGTCTGCTGATGTAGATGATATCCCGGTTCAAGAGGCGGTCGTGATGCAGGAAAGTGGGCAGCTTGGTGAGGTTGCTCTTGCTTTGCCGTGTCCTGATGCTCGGGTGTCTGCTGATGTGGCTGATATCCCGGTTCAAGAGGCGGTCGTCATGCAGGAAGGTGGGCAGCTTGGTGAGGTTGCTCTTGCTTTGCCGTGTCCTGATGCTGCTGCTGTTGCAATAGAGGGACATGTGGAGGATGCAAAGGGCTCTTCTGATGGGGCAAAGGAAATGCAGAGCGCGGATACTGAGGGGCCAGTGGCAACGCAGAGCATGCATTCTGAGGGGCCAGTGGCTACAGAGGCTACAGATCTTGATGATTTCGGCCTCCCACCCCTGAAAAAAAGAGTGAAAGGCCAAGTGTATGCCCGTCTGAAGTCATACTTGCATGAGGCGGGAGTGGGATCTTGGGCCATGCTTGCATATGTGTTGTATCGGTTCATGTGTGTAACGATTTTTGCAGGTGGTTGTGTCGAAGCAACATCAGGATGAGATGCAGAAGGCTTTGAAGGAGAGTAAGGAGGATGAGAAGCCTAAGAAGGGCAAAAAGGCTAAGAAGGCTGATCCTGACCAGCCAAAGAGAAAGCCTGGAAGGCCTCGCAAGCATGTACCAGTGGATGGTTCCGAGCCCTCGAGTTCCAAGAAGGATAAGGAGGAGGAAGCAGTCCCAGCTGCGAAGCCCAAAGCCAATAAGAGAAAGCATGTTGACCCCGAATCCCCGACAAAGCCCAAAGCAAAAGCAAAGGCCAAGGCAAAAGCCTTGGGAGTGGCAGCCGAAGGTGTGGAGCCCATTGTCGACCAGGGTCCCAAGCCCAAAGCCCGAGCAAAGGCAAAGGCCAAGGCCAAGGCCAATAAGGCTGTGCCAGCCGAGAATGTGGAGCCGATGTCTGCCATGGCCGCAGACAACGAGGTTGCACCCGTGGTTGCTGATCCGGGTCCGAAGCCCAAAGCCCGAGCAAAGGCAAAGGCAAAGGCCAATGTGCCAGCCGAGAATGAGGAGCCGATTTCTGCAATGGTTGCAGACAATGCCGAGGTTGCACCCGTGGTTGCTGATCCGGCCCCACAGCCCAAAGCCCGGGCAAAGGCCAAAGGAAAGGCCAAGGCGAGGCGAGTGGCAGATGAGGCTGCAGACCCACCGGTCAAGAGGCGCCGAATCAGCAGCATTAGAAAGAAGCACCCTGAGCTGGCCAAGATGCCTTTGTTTGAGTATGTTGAGATGTCAGTTTACTGGACTCGATGTGCTGTGGGCCTCAAGCTGAAGCAGGGTGAACTGGAGAAGAAGCAGGAGGGATGGGTGTTTGTATGTGCATGAACTGTTGGGTTTTTGATCCGTTGATGTTTGTGCTTGGCCCACCCCTGACAGGTTATCTATGTCAGCAACAAGAGCCTCTCCATGCAGGACAACATCGACTGTGCCATCGACATGGTTGCTGTTTCTGCAAGGGGAATCTAGAGGTGTTGTGCATCCCGTGAAATCATTCATCTGAGGCTACGATCTTGGAAGTCGCCCATGGCGATTGGCCCTCTGTGAAAGACCTCTTGGAGGAGAAGAAGAGGGTTTTCCTGTTGCGACACATGTGATTTCTGGAAGAGTGGATGCACTGCATGAATTACTGCACATGCCTTTTCAAAATTCTCTGCAACGTAGAATGTTTGCAATTTGATCAGTGATGGGAGCCTCCAGCGCATCTTTAATCGATGTGTTTGTGCTACCGTCTGCAGGGATGCATGCACAAGCATTGGCATCTGCACGCAGATTTATGTACCAGCTCGTGATCGTGTCATGTGACCAACGAGTGATCGGCTGCTGAGAAAGGGGATTCATGTATTGCTGGCTTCGTGTCTGCGAAATGCATGCATGCAACCCTCTAAACTCTCCTTCGGTCAAGTCTCTGATCCCTTGTTCGGCCCAGGCCTCATGCCGTTGCTCATCCAAGCTGCGAAGTTCGGCGTCTCGCTCCAGCGCGAACGAGGTCAGCCCCGCCCACCGAAGCAGGGCAGTTTCGGAGTTCAGGGTTCGTAATGGTTTTGGGGATGTATAGGGCAAAATAATTTAAGGAATATGTTACTGGGTTATATTTATTGCTCACCCATGAACTCCTTAACCCACCTACCCAAGGACTACATATATATATCAACCTAGAGTAGGCCCTTATTCCCTTTTTTAGGGTTCAGGTTCTTTTATGAGCCCCCATAAAACCAAAAAGGGCACCCTTTTTATTCCTAGGTTACTCTTGGGTCTATAGAGGATAAGCTATATAGGTCCTTCGCAGCTTCAGGGCTGTTGGAAATCACAGATTTCAGTTGGTTCGGATTCAGAACAACATTAGACATATTAGGGTAGCAGCTAGAGTGACTGCTGGGTTTCCGACAATTTCCAAATGGAGTGTGGTTCAAATAGGCTACAGGGGCTTTGGCAAAAGAGAAGGGTATTAGGTTATATACACATTGATCGGGTTCTATTAACCTACAGGGGGAATCATATATGTTTGTGGGTTTTCTAGGTATGGGTGTGGGATATAGCTACAGTTATAGGATCCTTAAGGGGGTGTGCTTCAAGGGGGGAGGGTACAAGGAATTCTTAGGGGAACCTTAGGGAGTACTAGGGAGAGTTAAGGATCACTAGGCTATATACCCCCCTTGGAGCCCCCTCCCTTAAGGATACTATAATGCTGGGAACAATGGTACTTGGCTATAGGGTCCTCTGGGTTCGGGGTGAACTGAGTTCTAGCATGCCTTGTGGCATTTGTTCAGCAGTCTTCTGCTAATCGGTTGGTACGGGGTTTTGATGTTCGTCCTTGGTTTTGGAGTTTTGTGGCTGATGTCATTGTACACCCAACTCCAGACCCCGAAGAGTGCAGAAGCTTGCTTATGTTCATTGCATCCATGAGATCAGGGCCTGGTGACTTTTTGCAGTGTTTCTACTTCTATGTGTTAGAGTACACATGTGAGGGACTCAAGGCTGCATGCATCGATGTGTTGCAAAACATATTATACCTACAAAGGATGTCTGAACCAAAGTTATACAAACTGCCTGGCAGTGTTCATGTTGAGCAATTGTACAGTACGGATCTAGAAATAACTTTCTGCCATGGATCAGACGGGTCTCGTTGATGTCGTGCTGGTGCAAATCTGGGCTGCTCGCATCCTGATCCGGATTGGTGAGAAGAACCAGTTCTGGACTATATTCGGGGGTGAGCATATTCGGGAGTCCCTCATGATTCTGCTCCGGTACACGCCACGTTATGCAGACCGTGGTCGTGTGGCCATCATAACTCTAATCGACACGCTGACGTCACTGCGACATCATGTGGGTCAAGGCTGGGGGTGGTGGCAGGATATTTACTATGTCCAAACTGGCCTACCTGCAACGCCTGAAGGCTTCTCCTGTGAAAGGCTCATGTTGCGAGACAATCCCAAACGGCTTCATGTGTACCTGAAGCAAGGCTGGGCAGCTTTTCAGAAGCAGCTAGATGTGATCAACCGCAGCGATGGAGTGGAGATTGATGCCATGGTGGATGACATATCCTGTGTCTTTCAAGATGCAATATGTGTAGCCTCACTTTTGAGTCCCAAGGGCCCTCCGAACAAATGTGAACGGGTCTCTGAGCTTGAGACAATGGACTAAAATGCCTCCCAGGGACGTGTTATATAGACCGATGGCAGCTCGGCACAGCTCGGCAGGAAAATTACCACGCCCAGGAGATCCTTGGTTTGCTGTTCCTTTAAGGTTTTGAGGAGCCCTTAATGGCCGGAAAATCTTACACTTGACCGTCTATGAACCCTATACCCTATGAAGTATTGTCTTAAGCCCAGAGCGCCTATCCCCAACCCCAATAAACCCTACTACAAACCTCAAACCTTTTTTGGGGTTTTCATCTCAGGGGATTCTTGCCTTTTTGTACAGACCCTATACCAAAGCCACAATTATCCTGAAGTACTCATTCAGATCCGAGAACTCCATAAGCAGCAATCCAGCAAGCCGTCCCAGGCATCATCACAAAACTTTGATTCTAGAGAAAACCCAATACCCTATAAACCCTATTATACCCTCACAGTCGAAACCCTAATCCATACTTATGTTTGTACTGTATTGCTCCTGGAAATCCCAGAACTCAGCAATCGAGCAAGCCTCCGAGGTACCATCAACTGCCTTGATTCCAGAGTGCTTTTATAGGTATACCCTATAAATGCGAAACCTTAAAAACCTTATTGTGAGCCACGTACACCCTACTTGGAGGCCCTTTTGACTTAGTAAGTAGGGTTAGTAAGGTGGGTTATGGGGATTATAATAGGTTTCCAGGGGATACTAAGTAGACTTGCTAAGTCAAAAGGGCCTTCAAGTATATGTACTCGGAATCCTGTACAAATCCGAAGCCACTGTTACCCTGTACTGCTCTTCGAAACCCCACAATTCAAAGCCATAATCCAGCAAGCCCCTCTGTGGTATTATCAGATGTCTCAGTACCCGATTCCAGAGTACTTATATATATATATATATATATATATATATACACCCTAAATCCTAATTTAAATCTTAAGGTCTACAGTCTATATAGTATCGCTAAACCCTATAAACCCTATCTGCATGCAAAGCCTGCAAGCCGGATGCTTCTGGAGTCATGCACTCGCCAGTTGGTGTGGCCCAGCGCATGCCAGGTGTGCTGTCCTTGAGGGTGCAGCATTATTCGAAGGTGTATGGCCTGATATGGGGGTTATATATTCTTATTTCCCGGTGTCGAAAGTTCTTTAGAAGCTGGCTGCCATGGTTCTGCCCTCTGAAGTGCCGGTGGTTCTCAAAAGGCTGGCTAAGTTGGGAGCGCCCAAGGCTGCTAGACAATAAACCGATTGTGCATTGCATATGTGTAGTCTACAAGATCTAGAATGACTTTGGACGTGTGAGCTGAGGCCTTCTTACTTCTTGTTCTGCTCACTACCTGCTTGAAAGATGCCAAGCTTGGTGTATGCAGCTACGATACATTGGAGTTCTTTGCTGGAAAGGGTCATCTCACTGCTGCTTTCAGAATGACTGGTCGTAAAAGTGCTGCCCTTGATGCAGTATACGATGATGCGGTCAAGAGAAAGGGCTCCATGAATATTATGACAGATGCTGGCTTCGTGTTACTTGACCCAAAGTTCAACTGTGGGATGCATGCGTAAGTCCTGTATCCTGATGGCTTCTTCCGGCCTAGCTCAGGCTGGCGATCATCACTTTGCTCAGGACAAACTTAGACAATAGCATCGTGGTCGTGGCGGTGTGCTGTTCCTCTTGGGTGCTGTGTGCACGGGCAACTACAGGTAGGTCTGACCACATGCCGATGGGAACGGAAAGGTATCCCAAAGTGGCTGCAGCCAATAGAATGGTGAGTCGTGTGTGTTTATTACTGCAATTGGCTACTGCATTGGGTTCAACGTGGTTGGTGGAGCAGCCTGCTTCATCTCTGCTGTTTCAGCATGATCGCATGCGAGAGATGGTTCGAAGATTTCAGCAAGTTGCTGTCAGAGCATCTTGATACTTATGGGCTTTACTTTGTTTGTCTTGTATCATATGTTGTCTGCCCTCCTGCTACCCGTACTCACCTCAGGTCTGGAAACAACGATTCTGGATGAAGCACTACCAGTCTGCGACCCCGAAAGCTACGATGCTCTGGAGCAACAGTTCGTTTGTTTCCAAGTTCGACTTAGGCCCTTTGACGAAGGCTGCATTGAGGTCTTCAGTTCGAACGACTGATCGGTGGACTAATGCTGCAGGGCGCAAATGTTTCAAAGGTAACAAACATTTACGAGGGACACAGACTCTTGCTTGCAAGTAGACCTGGCTATAAGCTGCTATGGCTGAAGCCCAGAAGCCCCGTTGAAAGTAAGAGTAGCTAAGGACCTATACCGTGCATTTTGCCCGGAAGATTGTTCGAATGACCCCGCTGCTGCTATTGTCGGAGACGAAAGACTGGGTCGAGGTGTATTGAGTGTATTGCACATGTTTGCTGTAGTTGTGTCCATGAAATTGCTTTGTCTTTCCAAGCCTCGAGAATGATCGATCCATATAGAAGCCACCCAGGTCGATGAGATGCAGACAATCCATAGCCTCTTCAGCGAGCTCAGCTACAACGATGTGTGGGATGATGCAGGAGTCCGTGCTGCAGTTCGGTATGTCCGGGGTTCTAAAACCCTACAGCTTCCTGAAGAACTGAGGTCTCTTATTCCCCGATCCTTGTAAGCTTTTAAGCTGGTCACGGCTTGCAGCTGTAGTGATGCTTTACCGTGTATCGCGCAGGATTGAAATCGTTCACACCCAAAAGCATGCATGCACACCTGGGGCCTTGCATTCCAATACCCTCGGAGCTCCAAACCTATGACCGAACCCCAAACAGACACATAACTGCCGAGAAGTGTAGGGCGTAGGGAAGGCGTAAAAGGCCATACAAAAGGCGTAAAAGGCCGTAGGATCTGTACCCCGTAGGCCCCCGTAGGCCCCCGTAGGCCCCATAGGCCCCAGCATGCCCCGGTATAGGCTGTTCTAGGCTAACTCTGATGCAAAAAGCCGTTTGAAGCCAGTAAACCGCCATTGGTCCTGTGTTTTG